AAAAAAAAAAAAAAAAAAAAAAAAGATGTAAAAACAACCTAAATGTCCATCAGTGGATGGATGGATAAAGAAAATGTGGTATATACATACAATGGAATATTATTCAGCCTCAAAAACAACAACAACAAAAGAAACCCCCAAAAAACAAAAGGAAGGAAATTCTGCAACAGATGACAATTTGAATGAAACTTGAAGACACGTTAAGTGAAATAACCTAGTTATACAAGAACAAATATTGTATAATTCTGCCTACATGGAATATCTAAAATAGTCAAATCCATAGAAGCAGAGAGTAGAATGATAGTTGCTAGGGGAGGGGGAATTGGGAATTGCTGGTCAATGGATATAAAGTTTCAATTATGCAATATGAGTAAGTTTTAGAGATATGCTGCATAACATTGTTCTTAGAGTTAACAATAGGCAGACATACTATACACTTAACAGCTCTTAAGAGGGCAGATCTCATGTTAAGTGTTTATTTTCTTTTCTCTCTCTTTTTTTTTTTTTAGTTGGGGTCTCACTCTGTCACCCAGGCTAGAGTACAGTGGCATGATCATGGCTCACTGCTGCCTCAGCCTCCTGGGCTCAGGTGATCCCGCTGCCTCAGCTTCCTGAGTAGCTGGGACTACAAGTGCATGCTACCTCACTTGGCTAATTTTTTGATATTTTGTAGAGACAAGGTCTCACTATGCTGCCCAGTCTGGTCTTGAACTCCTGGGCTCAAGCAATCCTCTTGCCTCATCCTCCCCAAGTGCTAGGATTACAGGCGTGAGCCACCATGCCTGGCTTGAGTGTTTTTAACTCTCACCGAAAAGACTGTCTCTTTGGATCACAGAAGAAGCTATTTTTAAGTAACTGTGGATTTATAGATGGCGTTCCTAATTTAGCTATTTCTCATCTGTTTTTGTAGAGAAAATTATATTTCAATTATTTGAAAAATATTATCCTATAATATGCTAGGATGATCATTTATATATTGACCATTGGAGAGAGATTTCTGCCAGTTGGATGACTTTCAGGCACCAAACCTGCCCAACAGTATCATCAGCCAAGATCCAGAATACATTGTGGCAGAGAGGGGGCTGGTAGCAGTTAAAAGTATTCCTTTTGAAAATGAATCTACAAGCTCTGAAAACCACCAGACCAGCTTTGTTTGAGAAAAACCAAATAGCCAAGGACTGATGGCTTTCACGGAAATGCAAAAGAGTAACTCATTCACAGACTTATCCAAAACCCCTCTTTTGAAGTTGATAGTTTACAGCCCTGCTTGCCGTGCATTTCCTGGAGACCATTTGTTCTTCGAAAGATCTGATTTTGCTGAGTATAACCTTGTAAATTTCCAAAAAAAGAAATGTGTAATCGCTCAACACGACCCCCACCTTTACCTAAATGAAGGTATAAAACCCTCTTCTCCCTTTCTGGGTGGCTCGGCCTGGGAGTGTTAGCCCACCCAGTCCGCCACCATAAATAAAATTGCCACTTCCTATAGTAGTCTTAGTGTCATGATCTCTCTGTCTTCCCACTACATTATTCTGGTGCACTGAGCGGAAAAGGAGAGTTTGGAGATGGTGTGTTCCACCTCCTTTGTCATCGAGATACAACCTCCAGGGGAACGGGAAGGGCAATCTCGCCTGGCGTGCAATAGACCTTTTGATCCGTAGGAGGGAGGCCCCCCCAGCACACTGAGGCTTGGACCACGAAAGCACAACAGGGACCCAAGAGGCGAGGAACTGGCATAAGGATGACCACCTGATGGAAAGGACAGAAAGACCACTCGATGGAAAGGGAAGGAATAAGGGCCTTTGCATAGACCCGCCAACGGATGACAGAAGAGGAGCTTGATCACCTCCCAGAGTCTGCTAGTAATCTCCAGCCTGAAGGAAAGGGCTGAAAGGCAGTGGAAGACAACACTGTCTGAAGATGAACATGTAGACTCCTAGGATTAGGGCAGAGGGTTGAAGAATGTGCTGTGTGATTGTGTGTGAATGAGACGGATGGTGGGAGGGCTCCCTATGAAGTCAGTCTGCTTTGGGGGTGTATCAACCTGCCAATTGCTAAGAGGTGTCTGAGATATCTTTGTGAGGAGTATAGCTGAAGGGGGATGAAGTGGATGTTTCCCATGCCCCTCATTCTCTTGTTTGTGTGTGTCTGTCGTTTTGAATCTGCTGAGGAGCTGGTTGGGTTATTGTGCTTTGTTTGATGGGACATGTCGTCTTTTTTTTGAGTTGGAGTCTCACTCTGTTGCCCAGACTGGAGTGCAGTGGCCGCTCCCGACCTGCTGGGCTCCGGCGATCCTTCCGCCTCAGCCTTCCAAGTAGCTGGAACTACAGGCACGCGCTGCCATGCCCGGCTAATTTTTGATTTATTGTAGAGATGCGGTCTCGCCAAGTTGCCCAGGTGGGTCTCGAACCCGCAGGCTCAGGCAATCCACTCACCTCAGCCTCCCAAAGCGCGGAATTACAGGCTGAGCCACCGAGCCCAGCTTCCACTTCAGTTCTTAATATCGAGTGTTCACCCTGTATGCTCTTGTATGCTCTCCTTATCTTTTAACTGAGGGACAGTTTTTCCTGCTGGTGAAAACAATACTTATGAGCAAGGCTTTGTTCCCTGTGTGCATCAGAACTTTTGTCTCATCCCCTCTAGTTACCTGATGGCATCAGATGCAGCCTCCTCCTGATGTCCTTCAGATTTCAGTGAATTAACTCCCCTGCTTTCCACCACATTTCCAGGTACCTGACTTTGCTGTGATTTCCAGACGCAAGCACTGTTTCTGCCACCCTTCAACAAGCCATTAAAGCTCCCCAGTGTTCAACCTCATTCATTCCCATTTTCCCTGTCACATGACTGTCATACACCTTTACGATGTGATGTGTGAACCATTGTGAGGAGAATGGGCAGAGAACATCAAGCACCCCTCACCCCCATTTTAAAACTGGGGGCAGGCTGGGCTCAGTGGCTCAGCCTGTAAGTCCAGCACTTTGGAAGGCCAAAGCAAGTGGATTACCTGAGCCCATGGGTTCGAGACCCACCTGGGCAACTTGGTGAGACCTCATCTCTACAATAAAACAATCAAAAATTAGCCGGTGTGGTAGTGCGTACCTATAGTTCCAGCTATTTGGAAGGCTGAGGCGGAAGGATAACCGGAGCCCAGCAGGTTGAGGCTGTGGTGGCCGGGAGCGACCACTGCACTCCAGTCTGGGCAACAGAGTGAGACTCCAACTCAAAAAAAAAAG